GGGAACATAGACATTCCATGTAACAAAGCTTTGTTAGTACTGCAAATATAAACATATTTACGTAAGTGTAGATAATGAGTACCTATAATTGTATGTGTGGGAGGGGGCTGCTGGTCTACTGACCCCGACTAATCACAGATAGATAACGGAGTAACATATAGTGCTTGTTCTGTATCATTGCTGACCTGCTTTCGCATGCTTTCAGACCGTGTGAGGTGAATGTATATACAGATCTAACAGTACAAAAAGTCATATCACAGCACATCACTACAACTTTTATCCTTTGTTCTTGTTTAGGATAAAAACACCGACCTTGTTAATTGGTACCTGTCTTTGGGTCAGTTCGGTCACTTCTGCTTACTGTGCCTAAAATAGCCTCTACCCGTAATTAGTATCAGGACTTGATACCAAATAATAGAACCTGTCATGATACCAAACAAAAGAACCTGTCGTACGTGTGTACCATGTAGTTCTGTCACGTGCCCACCCGTCACCAGATAAGAGAGTACAGTTGTCGGCGACCCGTCGGGAATGTTTACCCGGTGTCATTCATTACACGTGCTTAGCACGGTTGCCTAAATATAAATAATGCAAACACAACTGTAAATCCAACAACATAGTTCAAGATCACGATGACTTAGCCCCAGTAGATATCCGATACCTTGAGTTTTACGAACAGTGAGTGTGTTACTGTTCCAATGAACAGATTGATAATCTACAGACATATCAGAATTCTGGGTTTCCATAAACAGGATAATATTAAACGTCAATAACAACAATTATATTATCAGATTTAATATAACGTCACGTTACCCAGGTCTGAATTGCTAATAGATCTGTTTACGCAACACTACCTTCGACTATTACTGACATGACTAAATTTGCAGCATAGTAACCAGAACATATATTTGCTGGTTGTTTTTTGTTTCTTTTTGTATTGAATATATTTCCTTTTTATCCCAGCTTCAAATATTCTTATTGATAGCATCCTGATATTTCCACGTCTTGTGTTCGCTTTGATTGTATCCTCTTATTTTCACGTCTAGTTTTCGCTTTGAGAGCATCCTAATATTTCCACATCTAGTTTACAATAAAACTGTTGACCAATCCACCTGTACGTAGTACAAGCAACCTTGGGATGTTTATTTGTTTGGTATAAATTGGACTAGTTCTAAAATATCTGTGGGAGTTAGCCTGGAGGATGCTGTTAAATAGCCGATACATCCGGATATTTGTGAGAGATACCTGTAATTATAACTCAAGCACTGTTATTGAATAGATGGGTCGCCTTGGGGCTACAGTCCAGGAACAGTCCTAACCTGTTGCCAGCGACAGCTTTTATGATATAGAGTATATTTAGCTAGGGTCAGATCACTGACCTACATTAATGTACATTACTTGTTGGTTATGTGTATGACAACTTTTAATTTTTAGCAGAAAGCACCACACAGGGAGATGTACCATCATTATTAATACTAACTCACTAGGTATTAAGTTACATCAAGCTTGACGTGTTCGATGTTGGATGCCCGTATATGTGCCTGATGGTTTCATTATTACTATCCTGGTTCTGTTTTAGGGAACATAACATTAGTTGAACATAGTTCTACATGACAGATTTTTGAAACATTTAATTGACCCGACTTCCGCTATTCAATGGTGTTTATGTCCTTTTAGGCAATATTGACCTAGTTATACCGAGTTTGTTTATATGTTGATAAAATCTTTTTTTCTTTACGAAAGGGCGGTGTTCTATTAAAACCTTTAACAGTTTATAAATATATCTTAATATGTGTTATATTGTTTAAGACTCGCAGCGATGTAACAGTATACTTGTGCTATATATGACGATATGTACTATACCAATTGTATAGAGTGACAATTCTTACCAATGTGCTGTTATATCAATACAAAAGCTAACAACACATATCTATTTAATGTTGGATTACCTTGGTGGGATCAATGTTATCCTGGTCAAAGTATTTTTGCACCAGGAAAAATTAATTTCAAAATCAGGCATAACCAATGTACTTTTGTTATTGTATACGATTATGGCGAGCTAATGACGGATTAATGAACCACTTGTGATACGTATGGGTATTTTATTGTTAACCTGATTAATGTGGTTCGCTTTCCTGTGACGATATCTGTAGTACATTACACATACAAACCTTGTACGTTAACCAACAACACTACATCATTTTATAAGTAGTTTTACTGAGACCTGGACATTACCCATACATCTTGTTGACATTTATCAATCAATGATATTGTTAACCTGATCTATCAACGATCTTGTTAACCTGATCTATCAACGATCTTGTTAACCTTTATCTAGCACGATATTGTTGACATTTACCTATAAATGATCTTGTTAACCTGATCTATCAACGATCTTGTTAACATTTATCTAGCACGATATTGTTGACATTTACCTATAAATGATCTTGTTAACCTGATCTATCAACGATCTTGTTAACATTTATCTAGCACGATATTGTTGACATTTACCTATAAATGATCTTGTTTACCTGATCTATCAACGATCTTGTTAACCTGATCTATCAACGATCTTGGTAACCTTTTTCTAGCAACGATCTTGGTAACCTTTTTCTAGCAATGATCGTGTTAACCTTTTTCTAACAAAGATCTTGTTAACCGTTTTCTAGCAATGATTTTGTTAACCGTTTTCTAGCAATGATTTTGTTAACCTTTTTCTAGCAATGATTTTGTTAACCGTTTTCTAGCAATGATCTTGTTAACCGTTTTCTAGCAATGATCTTGTTAACCGTTTTCTAGCAATGGTCTTATTGACACTTTACGAATTTTGTGACATTTTGTCCGACAATAATTTGCTAGATGTCAGAGTCTTAGTCCTCCGGTGATTGTTTAAGCGTTTTCATTATGCTGACACGCTTAAAACTGCATCTAAGTTTGATTTACTTTATCTAACTAAGATATGATCAGCATTTCATCCTATAAAATATTGCTTGGCAATTTATCGATTTATGTGTGATCGATATGCTTAACATAATAATCCATCTAATTGTTCAGATAACAATGATTTGCTTGATATTTTTTGTATAATAGTGGTCTACTTGGTTCTTATTTAGTATATGCAGCAATGTTTCCAATATACGGTACGAAATCATATATATTTACAAAACTTCAATATCATTTAGAACGTACATTTTTAAAAAAATTCTAGATTTTATTTTTTTTAATTTAATTTATTTATCAATTTTTAGGGGGTCACTTGATTGAATTCTTCAGTCAAGCAGCACATGAAGATGACGTTTAAAATTAGTATACTGTTCTAGTTCTGAGATTTAATCAATATCACAAGAATCCACAGATGTGTATATACTTTCGCTTTCAAAACAATAAAGGTAATGTGGTGTTAACGTGAAAATGCTTTAGAGTCCTAGTCATGTGACTGGACTGTTATCACCACATATGTATTTATCGTAGACATACGAATTTACCTCAACACAAAGCCTTTAGATAAATGTCCTCATTTACCACCAAATGATTTGACACATAGAGTTACCTTTTGACCTCTTGATGTTTGAACTCACAGTTAAGCAAAGTGTTAATAATGATACACTTGCATTGCTTTATAAAACCACCCTATATACTTTATACAGTGTAAGTAAGAATTCGTTACCAATCGTATCAATTTTCTGAAGGTAAATCACGTTTTTGTGTTTAGTAAAACATTTTTTATATTATCTTTGCATGTTTTCTTTTTGCTATTTTGTTTTCAATCTGACTGTACATTGTGTTTTCTTTTGTCTTTTGAATCGATGTAAAACAGGTGGAGACATATACGAGACATGGATAAGGTTATTGGGAAAACTAAAGCATTACATTTATTCTTCGTTCGTTAAAAATGATATCGTTCAATTTAAAAAACAAAAAACAAAAAAACAAGAATTTGTAGACCTCATCTTTTCAGACATGTAATGACTTTCTTTCCTTTGTAATGCTTGCTTTTATGGCAAGAAATTCAACAATTTTATTATTTTGATATATAGCTGAATTAAGAATAAAAATACATAGCAATAAACATATGGAATGAGGCAACAGGATGTATTTCTGGTCATTTATTGTATTTGTTTATTTGTGTAACGCTTCATTGCACAACAACACATCACTATGAATTAACTGGCGTTTACTGAAGACAAAAGTTGGTTAACTGATTACACTTGTGATAAATGCCTCTGACAAGTCAGCAGTATGGACATTGTGTGGGCAAATAACAGAAGATTGTACTCCGTCTGTACCGATCCCATACCCGGACGTAACCGTCTATGACTGCCCTGTAATCCACGTGTCATATCTTCGCTGATTCAGACAGGTATCAGTCATCAAGTTTACAATGTTGAGAGTTGAAATTACATAACGGCAATCGGTTTTATATCGTATTACAGGTCATGTGGGTGAATATAGGTGCGTTCACCCTCGCTGATTATGATTTTCGAGAGCATTTCCGTATCAATTATATCCCACAATACGTTTTATAAAGATCTTAAACCATTTTGTTGTATAACATGGTTTTACAAATATCTAAGATGGAATGCTACTATTAAGTGTGGGTTGACAATCAATATAAAACACATGTAATATCTGTCATCGAGTACAACAAATAAAGCAGAGACAAAATAAACAAATGTGTTGTCAACCATGTCTATCTACAAAATTTCGCACCGCAAAACCCTCATTAAGATGTGAATTTCTCTAGGGTACATGCTTATGTGTGATATTTTCGTTGTGTAGACGTGGTCAGGTATCTAATGACTAGGCGGTGTAGCTCACACAGCTGATCAACTGTCATTATCGACTATTACTTCTCTACTATATGTTAGTTGCCCCCAACATCCGTCACGCATTCCGTTATAAGTGATGTCAGTGGTATTAATTGGTAGTAGCTGCTCATAACCTGGGAGTGGAAATTACTTATTTTGCTGTACTAATGGCCAGGTTTGGTGAACTTTCAGATATCTCTCCGGATCTGGTATTCCAGTTTCTTCAAGACAATCCGGAGTTTCTCGACAACTATGTCGTCAATAACGTCGAGGAAACTCGTGTCCAAGAATGGTCACTACGCAAAACAAAGTCACCGCGCCCTCAACGACAGACATGGCACCTCACCAATGGTCAGTATAAGTTTTTATATATACCTGTGATAAATATGTGTATACCTATGTGTTAGCTTTGTCTTTATATATCTGATGAACACCAGACTTATCGTCAGCATACTTAGGTTATTTATTATACATAGTATATTGTTGTTTCTTTATTCACATTTAAGGCGTAGAAGTCTGGAGGTTTACACGTCATGTTTGAAAAATATAAATCTAATGGTATCTATGATTAGTCAGAAGAAAGTTTAAATCTATTTCGAAACAAACACTGTATTCGCTGTCGATATTTGTGACATCCTTAAAGTGAATAACATTGCATAATAACAGGGCAATTAAAGTAACAAGTAAAGACAATTATTACATTGTAAAAAAAATCCGAAATTCTGTAACTCTTCTGTAGCTATTTTACTGTTATACAAGCAAATATTCTTTCGTTGAAATGGTCATATTGGTTACATCATAAAAATGAAACAAAATGCCTATCAACATAAATTTCTAGCTTCTCTCTACGAGGTATATTACTGGGGTGATTGTTTCTAGCTCCACATTACTGAGGTAAAGAAAATAACAATAGGCATGGTCGAAACAAGCAAACAGCCTGAAAGATATGAGATCAACAGTATACAACAGTAACAGGTTGTTGTTGACGATTCTTCATCATTGGAATGGAAAAAAATTCTCCTGTCCGTTTTATGTTCTAAAAGTGACAATTGCACGACAATGCCACTACAGTAAATGACAACCAGCATGTCATTATTGAAGTAAATTATAACGGTTCATCGTCAAATGACTGTTCCATTAAAATGGATGGCACTGTGATAACAATAGTTTAAGTCGAGTTATAAATACTTAAGATAATAGAATATGTATGGAACATAAAGGTAGTTGTTTTTAACATGATATTTAGCCCGGATCATGTCGTTTATCCGCAAAGTTGTGTCATATCGTCCATAAATGCAACAAAAAAAGGATGTTAACTAATAAAATACACCATAATGTGAGATCACTCTATGAGGTCTTACTAATGTCATATTAAAACTGTTTACAACAGTTTATCAAATGTTATATTATTCGTATTCGATAACGAGTTGGAAAAAAAACATGGTGTAATCATGGATGTTCGTGTAAAGATTTTCGGTTATCTGAAAATAAATCATGTAGTACAACACGCCAATAAAATCTATATAGTGAGCAGTACAACGAAAACACGTTCAACACCTGCCTGTGACCAATAAAAACAAAAGGACAGTAACAAACTGCTCTACTTATGTAACCAATAAAAACAAAAGGACAATGAACAAACCGCAACGTCCCGCTGGTAGCACATAGAGCCTGTACTCCTTGTTGATTGTGCTCACTCTGAAGTTTTTTCTTGCACTGTTGGTTTCGTTTCATAATGGCTTTTTGTTAATAAATAATGACTATGTAATCATATATAGTATAGGTATTCACAAATAATAGCTGTCTTCTCAAACATACACAAAGGAATATAGCATTGTATAGTATGACGCCCCCACAGTGTTTTATATTTAAACAAGAAAATTAAATTCATTTGTGTGGTTTTATCACTGATTAAAGTTCTGTCACGAATTTTAGAATGTATACAACCAGAATGTGTTTCTCGCTCAATCTTTATTTATATACTATTATTCTGTCATACTTAATCTATAATGATCAAGAATAATTGTGTTATTATTCTTGTTGTATAGTGGTTTGTCCTCGGTTTCAAACGGCCTTTTCGGATCCGATGTAAATAGAATGTAAATTAAATACTATACAATGCTGTATATATATTTTTTTACTAATATTGGAAATGGATTTGTAAGGTACGATACGATGCTTTTGTAAGACGTCTTCAACTTCAGCGTGATTTCCTTCCGGTCCTGTCTCTCCGACAGAGTATATATAGAAATATGTAAATGGTTGTATAATAAATCACACAGAAGGTTCAATTGTTAAACCATCTCGATGATGAGTTCAAAAGGGTCAAACGTACACATAAACAACGTCAGATATAATAACGATAATACCCCTAAAACGGTTCACATTACTATTTATACAAAGACGTAATTTATTTGTCGTTGCGTTATATATGAAGTCTATGATACAGCCGAATAATATCCCGAGAAACTGTTTTATGCTACAATCAGAATATATTACACAATATAATACCAATAAAGCGTTTTGCAAAAGACACACATGTCAATAGCATTGTTCTAAAACAATAGAAACAGAAGAAATAATAGAAGGACATTTACGCTCATTATGTTTTTCAATTTATCAGTAAGGTGCACGATTATTCTTTATTAGGGTTTGATCTGCAATGATTTGAGGGAGGCTCACGATTATTCTTTATTAGTTTTTTTATCTGCAATGATGGAAGAAGTTCACGATAATTCTTTATTAGATTTTTATCTGGGAGGTGCAGGATTTCTTTATTCGTAATTATAGAATGGCGTATACCTATTCTGTTTTCGAAATGATAGAATGGAAAGTGCACGATTCTTTTAATAACCGGATAGTGCACGATTTTCCTTTCGGACTAACATATATGCGTATGCATTAATTCTTAACTGAAAGACTTGAAAAGGAGCTGCACTGAATCTTTTCTTTTTTTAATACGGGAGACCGCTTACTAGATAGTATTACTACATTTTAAAATATATGATGTTTCGATGTGTTTCTGTACCTATTTTCCTATACTTACATGTACTTGTTACCTGACAGTATCTTTGTATAAACAAAGTAAATGTAATATAATCAAAACAAAAGCTGTAGATATGGTGTAACGTTTAGTTGCTTTAAATTGAAATTTCCTTCTTTGCAGGTGACAATAGAGAACACTTCCGGGACCCACAACTCTCCCAACAGAGCAAAAGTAGATGGACGGTAAGAACGGCCATAAATAGTTACAGAACTAAATCATTGGCTTTCACTCAGGGTTTCTATTGAATTCTTTTATTCAAAAGTCATTGTTGTTTCATCTCATCGTCAGTTCGACGAAATGATTTAGTTTCAGTGCTTGCAGCCTACTAGTGTATTTGATTTCATTCTTCGAAGCCTTGTTGTTAACCTGTTAATACCTTGTGATGTGTCTTATTTCAATCAGCAGTGCCTTGTAATGTGTCTTATTTCAATCGGCAGTGCCTTGTAATGTGTCTCACTTCAACCGTCAGTGCATTATAGTGTGTCTTATTTCAATCGGAAGTGCAATGTAGTGTGTCTTATTTCAATCGGTAGTGCATTGTAGTGTGTCTTATTTCAATCGGCAGTGCCTTGAAGTGTTTTTTTTTTCATTCGTTAGTGCTTTGTAATTTCTTTTTTCATTCGTCAGTGCCTTGTAATGTATCGAATTTCAACCGTCATTGACTTTAGTGCATTTGATTTCGACCACCAGTTCTTTGCAGAGAATTTACTTTCAACCGCCAATGTTTGGTAGTTTACTTTAATTTCAACCTCCAGTGATGGCCTAAGAGTGAATTTACTTTCAACCGTCAGTGTCTTGTATGTGATTTCAACTCCAAGTTCTGTGTAGAGCATTTAATTTCAACCTCAGTGCTTGGTAGTTAAATTTATTTTGACCGTCAGTGCATTGAAGTATGTTTCATGTCAATCGCGATTGCCTTTAAGTAATTTAACTATAAGCGTTCCTGCTTAGTATTGTAGTTTTTATAGCCAGCTTCTTCGACAATATCTAATTTCATTCCTCAGTGTCATGTAATATGTCACAATGCCATCATCAGTGTTTGACTTGGTTTCAGACAACGGTGCAATCAAACAAATGGAAGGTGCTACACAAGCTTACAAAAGATTTCAACCTACACACAAGCCGCTCAGAGATCCTAACCGAACTTTCCACATGTGCTAAGAATTGTGAGTGTTTTTGTGTGTGACGTCTGCGCGAGCAAAACATGCCAATCACCTGATTATGTAGCTAAGCAAAAGATAAATGTCTGACATTCTTCTATTATAATCCGTTTGTTACCATTAGGTATAAAGGTAGAGTGGAATAGAATTCCCTGTAAGTTAATTATCATGTAAAGCATGTACTTTAAGTAATGTTATAACTGTTTCAGAATCTGTGTGTTGAAACATGTTTCGTTTAGTTCTTTACCAGTACCAGAGTTACTATTCTAGAGAAAGTAGCCTCAAACAGCATTCCGTTGTAGCTGGCTGTATTGTTTGCTATTTGTCAGGTAAAGACTAAAATTCGAAGCCGAGACAAAGGAAGGCTTTTTTTACGTCATGGTCTAATTTCAACACTGTTGGTGGACTATTGGTCCCCGAGCTTCGCTGTAACCTGCATGCCACGTTTTAATTCATACGAAGAGTGGCACGGTTAAGAATATATTGACGTTCTTCTAAATTGATCAGATATGAAATTTACGAAAATACCGAATTATGGGGCTATTGCACCTCCCCATTTTTATTTTTACTTTTCTTTCAGTCGCGTTGGATTTTCCTCAGTCACCTGATTGGTTTAGAATTTAGGCTCTTAGCATCACTAGTCCTAGAGCCCTAGAAGGACGAAACGGCTGTGTGCTATAGTTTGATTCTTGGCTCTATTGTATATTATGTAAAGTTGTATTTAAAGGTGCTATACAAGTGTGTCTTTCGTACAATCTTTGAAGTATACCGATCATGCAATCTAACTCCCTAATTACATGAGGTTTTTGTATTTTCCTTTAAACAAATTTCATTAATTCTCCTATTTAAAGACAAGTTCGTTCTCACCATTCTCGAGAATATGTCAAATTATTCTAACTAAGAGTCATTCATATAATGCAACATAAATGCTTTCATAAGCATGTTGTCGATGTAGAACTTCTCTGTTTTATGATATATACTTAATGTGTGAGTATAGTGCTGCTAATTAAAGACATTTTAAACATTCAATATCGATGTCGTAGTTGTGTAAGAATAAAATAAAACATGTTTCAAGTTTATGTCAGTCACTGAAAGTTGAAATCAATTTTATGCCATTGTTACTTTGGAAGGTTTATTCCATATTTGTGTTGAGCTTTATTCCCGAGATATGCTGACAATATGCCTATGAGGACTAATGCGTCTGTGTAGTATCATTAGTAAGGATTACACTGACTTAATGTAAAAATTGCACATTGCCCGCCTGGTGTTATGTTTCAGGTGTTAATGCCGACGGCTTCAACTTATACCTAACAGATGAACAGAAGCAGTTACGATATCACACCTCGTATCCTTCAGGGTAAACGTATTTTGTTATCTTTTTGCCGTTAACATTGACAACTTCAGCATATTACACAACGCTCCAATAATTCTTTTTACACAACGCTCCAATAAATCTTTTTACATCATGAAGCGATTTACCTTTTCAAATGACTAGAACCTACAGCTTTAAGTAGTTTGATCAGATAACTGAACTTTATGTGCAATGCATTATTTATTTCTCTTTAACGAGGAAATATGTATTTATTTAATTCATATGTAGAGAACGATCACGTTCTAACCTTACGATGTAAATCAACCATTTATCTTGACTAAACATCAGAAGGATTTTTATCCACACGCAGGCATTTTCAAACTTAATTAAACAGAACAAATATGAAAATACAGTGGAAAAATTAACTTCTTCATCATTATATATTAATACATATAATTTTGGTAACAGGAGGCAACGTTCCTCGTCTTTTGTTGGAAGGACAAACACCGGCTTGTCACTTCCTGACTTTGTTGCTTTGACACGGGAAACGATCCGATTAACAGAGTTACAACAGGTACGTCACGATATCATAACATATCTACAAATATACCTTAAATTCATACACGAAAAACACGTCCCAAGAATATGCGAGTTTCTTACATAGATTTGTATCAAATTATATACACCTTAATTACAGGACCCTAGGTATCCAAAGGGACTTGGAGTGAGGACAGACAACGCCCAATCTGTGATAGTAGTGCCCATTCTGGACGGCAAGGACGGAATCATGGGTAGGTTTATCTTATTCTGGGAGGATGTAGGGACATCAGTGTTTTCTGGATAGTGTGCGAAAGATTAAAGCCAGTAGCACTGCAGTAAGGAAAACACGTATTATAATAATTCAGTAACGTAGGAACAAAACATCTTTACCTATCTGAAAGGCAAAAGTGACGAAATATAACTGCTCACTTAAAATGAAGTCTTTATCGTCCAAAAAGAAATACCACTTAAACATCCAACACAAAACCGAAGTGAATCCCCATCGAAACATCAATACTGTTACCGCTCTAGGACATATTACTGATTGGCCCATCAGGTGGATCGACTTATTTGCATAATATACATTGATAGCTTGCTTGCGTGTAAACTAAACCTTTTTGGTTTTTATAAACTCAAATTTAATTTTTCCTGTAAGTAAGTTTAGGTCTTTTTGAATGAAAAACAAGTCATCATCATGTTTTTTTCCCATCATTTTGGAAAGTTGATTCGTTTGACAAGCTCTGAATGTGATGTCTAAAGCTTGCCAGATATATAATCATATAAATTTGTTTTTAACAGGAGTCATAGAAATGTTTAGATATTACGGAAATATACCATTTAGCTCAGAAGATGAAGAGGTAAGATCTATTAAGTATCTCTCACAACAGAAACTGACTTGTATACAAAGTTAAACGTATTCAACTTCAACCAACCGAGATATATGTATGGGTTTATTTTTGTTGCGTCTATAAAAGGATAAAATTGATTTTAATGTTTTTTTCTAATAAACGTTTCAACAGTTTGAAGGATTTAAATCGCCAATTACAGAATTCGTATTCACATGATTTGATTTATTTAAATGTTGTATACACGTTGATGACACAAGTAAACATTAAGGACACATACAATGGGAAAATATCCTTAATCTTCTTATACCGGTTTTTATATGGAAGATGATTAAATCTTGGAATCAAAATATTCAAATTAGACATGATCTTCCATTTATTTTTCTAATTCGGTGTTGTGATAGTATATGTCTGGTCGTTGTAAAATTACATTTCAATCCCGCTGTAATTATTGTATATTTTAGAACTGTACATTAAGCATCTATGTATTTCCCTTTGCTTGTTGACGTTTCAGTCCATGGCTTGTTGTATGTGATCCATTCCAACGAATTGACCGATATGTCTTGTCCAGTGTATATCCCACGTGTAACATGAAGTGTTGTGTTTTTAGGTCGCAGCCTCCTTATTAGTATGGGCAGATATGTTTGTGGAGTATGTTGAGGTAAAATATTGTATTTAGCAAAGCTTCACACTTCCTTCTTAACCCTAGTTTTGCGGGAATCTTGTTTTCTGAATTCCATATCTTTTGCTTAGCAGCTCGAATCGATTGATTTCTCTAACGCTTAATTTTTTTGTTTCAGTTTTTCACATTCTTGTTCTTGTTGCCTGAATGTTCTTGACCCAATACCTATGATTTCCTTTCTTGCTGCTTATAACATGCAATTAACATGGTTAAAACTAGATATGTTTGAATCATGGATTTCAACGCTCCAATGCTGATTTTTCTTAGCTGTATTTAAAAGATTAGTACCTCATATTAAAGATTTTTAATAAATGGTATAGATGCTAAAATGTTCAAAAATTTAAATTTGAATATTGAATTTTTGTTTTCAAGATCAAACTTTTGCCATGATTTCCTATATCTACTGTTTTAATCATCTTGTTTTAAAGTAGTTATATATTTAGTCCGTGTTTTGTGAATAATCTCTTATGTATTAATTTATAGATAAAGTAGAGATTGTTGTAATATGCACGTTAACTTAGAGCGGTGAATTGAAAAGTATATTGAATAGATTCCATGAAATCAAAATTTTGAGAAGTTATTCTTGAAATATTTTTATAGTATTGAAGTTCTAATGCGACAATTTAATGGAGTTAACAACAAATCAGAAATATAGAGATGTCAATTTACCTGTAAAGCATAGAAGGGGATAGACAGTGATAAAGTTACTATTGAGCAGTTTGATTATTAGTTATAGAGAGACAAGGATAATCGTGAGCAATACCACCATTTTGTGTTTTCTTTTCTTTTTCGTCTTGTTTTAATATCAGTCGTCCATAATCCTAACCATAATGAGAAGCAATACATCTAGAGCACTTTACGAAAGGATAATAGCTTGTTGTCAGTCTGATTACTAAACCAAATAAATAATGTTATAAAACATAATAAGCTTAAAAGATTATCAAAATATCAAAATCCGGGATGAACATATAGCATACATGTATTTCAAAGTACCTCGTATTGTATTCCTGTTTATGTTAAAATATACGCATAGTTTTAGTTGCACAGCTGTTGGTCGATAATTTTACTTAATTAGCATGTGTCGTGCTAAATGAAATAGTATTTATGTACCGTTAAGTAGGCACATTTACATTTGCTTAAAAACGTATCATAACCAGAAGTTCGGGGCTTTTGAATTTGCTACATATAATTTTTTTCTGACACAACTACTGATTTTTTTCAGCATGAATTCTGTGTAGCCATGGTAATATCACGTTTGATCTAATGACCCGAATTATATATTACATACAGAGCGTCAAGATTGCTAATTATATTTATCATATAAATGTCGGGAACAATGTATAGAATTCGGTTCATTAGGTCAAACGTGATATTACCATGGCTACACAGAATTCATGCTGAATATTCGCTTTGGTCGTTTCTACTTAAGTTTCAATCCCTGTAAAACTCATATGACTTCTTAAAACATAATTTTAGTAATGAAACGTCTCGAAAATCGAGAATCCAGTTAATTTACGGATCTAATCTGACAGTTGGTCATCGCTAAAGTACAAATTGAATACAACATTCCAATGAGTTCAGAAAAACATACCATTATAACTAATGAATAAATTCCATATCAGATGTAACTTGTCAGACCGACTAGATAACATGCAAATTAGGCAGCTATATTAAGCCTCCAAATCCCATAACGCTTTTTGAATAGCTTACATATTTCATGAAAACCACACGTCAGGTGTGTTGTCATTCTTTGATATTGCTGAAGTATACAACTGCAGTGTCTGCAATAACATGGATATATCTGTAATATATTCGACTTAGCGTATTATCCAGTTGTACGAGAAAATGCTCTGTCCATCCATGATAAAAATTAAACTCTCGGTGTCACCAAGCTACTCTCCTGGATTTTGGCGTTGATGCATCCTCATTTTTAATTTAAATTATCACTGTTCTAAATAGAGCTTGAGATCCCGCTATTTTAGGAGAGTATTGTTTGGGACTGGTGGGGCACTGGATGGTTCCATACGGTTAAAAAAACAAGGGATATACATCTGAGATCAATGCCTTTTAATGAGGGAGAATTGAAACTTCGCCTATTTTATCAGGTGGGCGGTGACCTTGAATTATACCTGCAGTGTTGAAGTGCATGCACGTAGTTTAGCTCGGTATAATACTGGAAATGATATTGCTCTTTACATGCGTTATCTCGTGATAATATCGGATCTGTTATTTCTTTAGAGAGCAGACAATTTGATCTCCTGGGGAAGTTTTGGCTACTTCCATATAGAGGTATCACGTGACTTTGTTGTCTAGTGAACTTACATGTTGTGCAACAATGTTGTAAAGAATAAGGCCGACGATTTTATTGGTGTTTATTATGTCACTGAATATCGTATTAGATGCAGATCGCATGGTGTAAATTCTAGCGCCAAAAGAAATACGTTTTACTGCGGGATACATACACCAATACAAAACAGAACGTGAATATAAAGGATGCTTTCATATCTTGGTATAAAATGATCTAAGACAGAAGAGTTTTTGTATAATGTTGCATATGCATGATATACATATTTTGGGGAAATGTGGTTTATTTTTAAACTTGCACTTCATTGATAACATGTTTACAATATCATGTATTTATGGTTTGAAAGATTTGGAATAATACTATGTAACTAATAATCAACTCTTACTTCGTATGGTTAATATATATCAAACTTTAAAACATTAATGTTCATACAATTTGTAACTGTTGTATTTATTGACGTCATTACATAATTAAGAATGACTGTCTGTTCATATTGTTTATATTTTTACAACATAATCTTTAAATTGGTAAAATTAGAAATATGTAAGAGTTGTTACAGTTGATGCTGATGACTAGACTTGTTTTAAATCAAGTTTATTGTAATTTACAGCTGTATAACAGTATGACCAAACAGCGGAAACTAAATGACTTCTTGCTGGCAGTTACAAAGTAAGACTTTTTTACTATTTAACAGTTTAACTTTATCAATTCATTGTTTAAAGACAGCTCTGTATTTCTGGAAAACTAAAAAATCAAAAAAAAAGATGTGCAAAATAATAGCAAAAATATCAAAACCCTTTCATTTATATATTTATGTACTTGCAGTTCAAGTTTTAAGATAGAATGAAAATTGAAGTACTTCTTTGAAAAGAAATTTAACCAATTAGCGTAAAGTCATTTTATTGTTCTAACAGGTCAATATTCCAAGATATTGTCAGTATGGACACTGTTATAATGAAAATAATGGTAAGTAAATTACTGTGATACGAGTGTATGTAACATATCACTGAAACATCGGTCCGAAATATGATAAAGTACTGTGTATCAAATCTGTTTTTTTTTTTTTTTTTTTCATTGTGCAAAAATGATTAGAATAAATATGGGATATTTTCACAGTTATTTCTTTTATGCTGAAACAGAAAACAGAGTCTATTCCTAGTAACAGTCAAAGACATGTATCAGGCATATAACAAAAGCTTATTTTAATAAGAAACTATATTAACAAATAAAAAAAAGAGAAATAAATGTACTTTTAAAACATAACAACAATATGCTACAGAAAGTTAATTTTTTGTGTGAGCCGCTTACTATGTTTGAATTTGTATTGTTTTAGAATTACGCAAAAAAGCTCGGAAACGCCGACAGGGCATCACTGTTCTTACTGGACTCCAACACAAACGAATTATACGCAAGAATATTTGACACTGGAAAGGCAGACGAGAAAGTTCCACAAAAAGAAATCAGGTAACACCATAGTGAATATGCATGATATCAAAAATATATAGCCCTAGGCTTTGTTTTTACTTATAGGACCAGATAACAGTGTTAGGAAGGAAAGAATTTTAAAGAATTTCCACAATACAACTAACACGTGATTTCATTGTTCGGAAATAGGTTTCCAATGGATAAAGGTGTGGCTGGTTTTGTTGCAACCACGGGAAGTATATTGAATATTTCGGACGCATACAATGACTCCAGATTTAACAGGTGGGTAGGATTAATGTATACACTTATGTAAGTCTTAATAAGTACAAACGTCCTAAGTATATAAGTGCTCAGTAAACACGGGACAACATTTGTACCTGACTCCAAATTGTCATTAAATCGACTTCAATGTGTCATTTCTCTTGTAATTTTCATCAAAACCTAGATAGTTTATATATCGTCGGTATATTTACATACAGGGATGTCGACCAGCAGACTGGATATCGTACTAGCAGTATCCTGTGCATGCCTATATATATACGGGGCAGGTAAGGCAAATTATCGATTTTTTACATTATCACAATCATTATCAAACACTTAAGAATGAAAGTGTTAAGAGCTGATTCGTGTTATCCAACAATGCGTAAGCCATGTTCATAAATTGTAAAATTCCAATACATATAATTATATAACCAGTGCTGTTTTATTCAATGTGTTTGATAGAGCTGGGTGGCAGGTGTTTTTATGAGTACCGTATAGCCGGGTTTTCGGAGGGGGTGGGGGTGGGTGTAATACTTTTATTATTTCAAGTTACATTGACATGATCGCGAAAATTTATTACGTGAAATAATGGAAACATTCTTCGTTAAAATATTATTTGGACGCTTTAAAAGAAAACAGCGAAAATTGTAGTCCTTCAAAAGTACCAGTTATACGGGATATGGTGAAATCTGTAGACTGATACCTTGTGAGGCCACAATATAGATTTCTTAACAAGGATTATCGCTGCATATTCATACGAACATGTCAACCCGCTTAACGATACATCAATTTGATAGTTACCTCTATGTATTAACCAACATCCTAGGTTACAATACTTATTTATCATAGTCGATATCTAGAGTTGATTGATTCATTAATAACCTTAGCATTTGTTTTTGGCGTTTTCCGTCTCTTCTATCTAGTGTCACCTGCATGTTATTATTTGAAAGATATTTGTGTAAGATGACCAATCGAAAAAGTTTCAGCACAAATATGTTGTGTATTTAACCCTAAACCTGTTTCAAAAAATGGCTCTTGTGTAATATCACGAATAAATTTCTTACAAACTTTCTAGGTTTTATAACAAAATCATAAATGTCTAATGCTTTCAAACATTATATACACGTCCTGATTTCAGCATCATTGGTGTAGTACAGATGGTGAACAAGATGGATGGGATTTTCAACAGGGCGGACGAAGAATCGTTTGAAACCTTTGCCATCTACTGTGGGCTAGCTCTACATCATGCTAAGGTTGCTGTCGGATTTGTTGTTAGCTAAAATATATATTTTTTTTTAATTACTAAACCTACCGCAGATTCAAATGTCCACGTTCTTAAATCGGTTTTGAAATCCTCTCGCTTGAAATAGATGTAACTTATTTGTAGCTTTGTCTTACTGGTGTAGTGTAGATTTGTTAAACACAAATCATGTTGTTATGTCATGTGACATAAATAAATTTACATTGCATTCTAAACGAAATTATAGTGGATATATATTCACGCTGACATGTCTCTCTAATCCACTTTACGTTTGAATAAACACGATGGCATCACTGACCAGATAAAATCTTTGTAGTTGTACGATAAGATCCGCCGATCTGAGCAGAAGTTCAAGGTGGCCTTAGATGTGTTGTCCTATCACAGTCAGGGAAGTGATGAGGAGTATGCCGCTGTCAAAGCTATCCCGATCCCGAGGGAACTTCCCGAGATTGTGGAGTACGTAACCTTTCTATATATCAATACACGCAGAGGAAAAGCAAATAATTATAATAAACTAATGTAGTATATTAAAAATACGCTGTTTTCGGTCCGATGTGAGTTTTTGTTTATGGAAACAACAGGGATTTTTAACATGTAGTTTATCCTGTTTGGCTATCATGTATCTAATTTGTAATAAGGAGTGTTTTTTCTTGTGTGTTTTTGGACAAACCTTTCTTTGCTGGTGATGTTTTTGTTCCCAAGGTTCCGTAACTTGAACGCCACTTTTTAAATCATTTGAATAGCCGCACCGATACAGAATCATATTTTAAAAATAAATTCATGTTGATTTTTTTTATTTACTAACCTTCCCATTTGTTTATTTATTCTCAAATATATTTCGACCTATTTTGAATTCTCTGCCTTTAGGCTCTAAGCAACACTGACGTGTCTTTGAAGGACGAAAAAGCTGTATGATACAGTTTAATGCATCTTTTAGCTTCAATATATATATGGACACGTGCTTTCCACTTGTGTGTATTTTGTACAATCTTTTTCGAATTAAGGATTTTTTAAGAATCCAACGTCATAACAACATTCAAATTTCAAAGCTCATGTAATATTAGATATTTCTTATAGATATAATTAATATATCAATATCTTATCTCTTACAGTTACGATTTCTCTCCATGGTCTGTCACCAATGACCACAAGCCCGTATATGTTCTATACATGATCAAGGATATTTTTGAAGGCACACGGTAAGCAGAGTTGTAGTATTGGTAAAAAAAGCTAAACCAGCTTAACTCAGAATCTATACGTATTCAGTTTAAGACATTTCGACAATTAATCATGGAGTCATTGTGAAACATATCGCAAAATCTGTTTTCTAACCTCACTTGATCGCACCCTACGATCTTTGAATTGATATTGTTATGCCAGATGAGTTTGTGTGATTGCTTAGTGCTATTTTTGTTTCACATGTAGACATTTGCCATCAAATGCAAGCTTTCAATTTATTCAATATGGATTTGAAAGGAAGTTATCTCTTGTAAATCTATCATATATGGAATTTTCGTTGTTGTTGTTCATGCTGAAAAAAATCATTGTATGTGTGCTACTTATTAGTCGAGATTATACAACAAAACGAAAAAAAAATTATGCTTTCTTCTACTTGTGAATATTGAAATAATAATCAGCCTTATCTACTTTATACACACTCTTTGTAAAAAATAAACCGATATTTGTAAAACTAAACGTGTGAGTCTGTACATGTTTCTTATTATTTCTGTAATACATCGTTCAACTCTGTACTGTTTTCATATATATATATATATATATATATATATATATATATATCAAGATATCCTCTTATTTCAGTAACAGCAATAAATCTTGAAAAAATAATGTAATGAAAATACCTTTAATAAAGCATGTTTTGCTTTTCTGAAAACGTCATGACGTGTAAGTAATAATGACACAAATAACACCTAGATATCTAATAAACATTGTTGCATTTCAGCTCGGCTATCGTTTTCTCTTGCCTGCAATGATCTTAATCTGTTAGAGAAATTAAGCTTTATTTTCTTCCTTTTTTTTTAAATTTTGCCATATCTAACAGTTCGTCATTTACAATTTACGGCAAATTATTCTTCAATGTAATTCAAGTATTCTGCTAGAAAAGAAAAATTCAAGGAATTTCATTTTGCTTTTTGCAGTGGAGGAGAAAATGAGAAAAGGTATAATACCATATGCATACTAAATCACCCGCCAACTTGGCTTTCTGTATACTGTATCATGGTTTGCTATTTATAACTTGTCTTCTGATAGAGAAGCAATTATTCAAATTCAGATTTGTATTTCGAATGTTAAACACACTTCTTTTTCTCATTTTCAGTTTTTAAGTGACTGTACTATTTTATGAATGTCTGTTTTTCTTGTCTCTTACTGAGCGATGTTCTAACAATTTTGGAAAATTTATGTAAGCGTGATCGGAACAGAGATTTCTTTAGCCGAGGGGTTTGCTTTTTAGTTTAGTACGAGACTCTGGAAAATGCCACGGTTGTAAAACAGGGATGGGGAAAAAGTACTCTCAATGTTACTTAAAAGGAAGGGGGATTTAGTATATTCAGAAACTCGTACATTTTGTATAGATAAACATATAGGAAAAAAATTGTTTCTTATTAAACAATGTTGACCCCCTACTCCACCATATCTGAAAAAGAAAACCTAACGAATGTCAAAGTAGGTAAATGTGATATGTTTTAATATATCGACACCAGATTTTACATTAGTTTACTATCAAGCTGGTTTGTATGACATCTCGATATATTCCTCCATTATAGTGTCGTTCTAATGTAAAACAAAGTGTTGTTTACGATAAGATCTAATGTATCATGACCTGTTCTATATCTATCGCTAGTCAGTGACGTATCTTTGTACTCTGCACTCAATAATTAGTCTCTAATAAAGCGAAAACAACCGTATATTTTTGTGTCCTAGCTTCTGTAGTAGTGTAGACACACTATAATCTGTGTGACGTATTTGGAAATATCTGGGGGTACTGCTTTAAACTACTTTTGCATTCCTATCTATAAACAGAACCTCCGTTGACTTTTTTGACAATTAAAAATCAGAATATGACTTTTTAAAAACAATATTTTACAACTATAAAATGGTTAATTGCCTTTGACAATGGTTATATATTTTGCCTTAAAATACATGTTGTAGTATTTTTTTACGTTGAATTTGGTTCGGTTTCTTAGATCCCCATTTGGAAATTATATTAAAAGTTATTTAGAGCTTAATTCTGTATCATATTTATTTGCTTTTTATTGGTGTATATCTCTATACTTTGTCGGTTATTGATAATATACCACGTGGGTTTCGATATCTTTAATAGTAGTATATATATGTATATATATATGTATAAATATATATAAGTATGTATGTACGTACATGTATTCATCTCAGATCATTTTATCTTTCATTCATTCCCAAATACACATGTGCCATTTGGAACTGGTTATCTCCTATCACTCCATCAATCTCAAGGTCATTTCAAGTGTGCATTGGCATTGCAAAGAAAATTGCAATGACCTTTAGATTGTGACCTTTCACCCACGGATTTATCAGTACTCCCATCATCGTCCTCATAATATTCAATCTTCACTGTGCAGTTCACCGTTTGAGTCTTCACTGTCCCATTTTAATTCATTCTTGTCCCTTTGGTTTGTTTGGCGATGACAATTTTATTACATTCTTATATGTAGATGATATCATCATTTCAAAATTCTAAGTAAACTTTCTTCATTATCATTCTTCTTTACAATGTACAATAAATTTAATCTAAATTAATCCATCTTACAGTCTTCCATTCATCCTTCAAATATAGAAAAAACATGTTAAATAAGAATATCTCATATTTAATAATTTCTAAAGAGAACGGATCTCTGGTTCAATGTATTTTTCTGAAATTTTTCGAACATACATTTTTTGTTTCTTTATTCCCATGTAGTTACGACATCAACGATATTGTGCGGTTTACGTTGACCGTGCGCAAGAACTACCGCAACGTCCCCTATCACAACTGGGCCCACGCCTTCTCGGTAGCCCATGCCATGTTCACGGTGCTCAAAACAGCCAAACATGAGTTCTCTCCCTTTGAGGTAATTCATAAATATTTTGGTGCTGTATATAGGTGAGAGTGTAAATAATTATAAATGTGTTTATAAACAGTTTTTTGTATATTTATATAAATATTTCCTGAAAGGAGACGTTGTTTTAGTGCTGGAATGTTTTTTTCCGATATTTGTTATATTTAGAATAGGAATTATAAAGGTTATAAACAGATGTAACCGGACAGATTCGAGATCACTTGTATAATCCAGAGAGCTATACGTTTATTAAGCTTGAATGCTATTTTTGTCGAAAAATACTTTTATTCCTATCACTTGTATGATGTATCCGATTACAGAGTCTTGCACTGTTTGTGGCGTGCCTTTGTCATGACCTCGACCACAGAGGAAAGACGAACGCCTTCATGGTGAAGAGCGCATCTCCACTGGCATCTATCTACTCTACCTCGACGATGGAACACCACCACTTCAATCATACGATAACTATACTACAGGTAAAGTTACAGTGAACTGAGTCCGTTTCCCGTTTACACCCTGTTAAGCTAACTAAAAATCACCAGAGACCTATATTGCTCTCACAGTGAGATACCATTATGACAAGACATCAATGCGATATAAATCACGTGCTGACTCCGTAACCTTGACCTACAACTGATACAGTAACTTAGACCTAACGCTGGCACAGTCACCTTGACCAACAACTGACAATATTAACCTGCATCTCAACCTCAATCTATTGATAATACAGTAACCTTCACCTACACTTTATTCAGAAGAAGAATTACCGAGCCATCTGTAAGATTGCGAAAGATAAATTTTACTATGACATGTGTTCATGAAGTTAAGAGTTCATTAATTGATGGAACGGAATCCAACATATATTCGTACGTTACTTCAGGTCATCCATATAACGTTACAATGATTAAGCCAAAGCTTTAAATGTATGCAATTCAAAAATCATTAAATGATTTCACTTTCCTAAGATATTTACGTGTAATCATTAAAGACTCGTGTGCCTAATGCATATATACGCCGACACCTGACCGGTTAGAACACGTGTACCAGTCATGCAACCCGATGGCATTGTAATGTGTTTAAGAGAGGAGGGATGGGGTAAACCACTGATAAATGATTTAAAACTCACGGTGTTTTCTTTCGTTTTCACAGAATGAAGGTCACAACATTTTTAAACACTTGACTTCTGAAGAATACAAACACGTAAGTAATACGATTATTTTTATTATTGATGTTGATAATGTCTTAGAAACAATATGTTGTTTGGGTATACAGCAGTGAATTATCTGTAATATAAAATTAACCCCGTTGTATACAGATGTATATTTTGTGATGTACAAGCGTCCGTGATATCTGACTTTTACCTCATAAATCATTCTCACTTTTGTATGTCCAAAATGAATTGTCTTAAGATCATATTTGATGACAATATTGTAGGTTCCGGTCCTTCATGGTCCTTTATTTAGTTTCCGTTTGTTGACACGGTCCTTTATTTCGCTCCTCTTGGTAAATATTGCTCTAGTTTTTTGACACTGTACTGACCTTTATGGAGGTCCGATAATTGACACTGTCCTTTATGTTGGTCCGGTAATTGACACTGCCCTCCATGTTGGTCCGGTAATTGACAATGGCCTTTATGTAGGTCCGGTAATTGACACTGCCCTTTATGTTGGTCCGGTAATTGACACTGCCCTCCATGTTGGTCCGGTAATTGACAATGCCCTTTATGTAGGCCCGGTTATTGTCAATGCCCTTTATGTTGGTCCGGTAATTGACACTGCCCTTTATGTAGGCCCGGTAATTGACACTGCCCTTTATGTTGGTCCGGTAACTGACACTGCCCTTTATATAGTTCCGGTAATTGACACTGACCCTTGTTTTGTTCCATTTTGTTGACACTACTTTAAATTTTGTAACCTGTTATCGACACTCACGTTGTTAAAACGTCCGTTCGTTGTGTTCACGTTTGCTGACACTTTCCATTAATAAGTACCGTTTGATGACACTTTCCATTAGTAAGTACCGTTTGATGACACTTTCCATTAGTAAGTACCGTTTGATGACACTTTCCATCAGTAAGTACCGTTTGATGACACTTTCCATCAGTAAGTACCGTTTGATGACACTTTCCATCAGTAAGTACCGTTTGTTGACACTTTCCATCAGTAAGTACCGTTTGTTGACACTTTCCATCAGTAAGTACCGTTTGTTGACACTTTCCATCAGTAAGTACCGTTTGTTGACACTTTCCATCAGTAAGTACCGTTTGATGACACTTTCCATCAGTAAGTACCGTTTGTTGACACTGTCCATTAGTAAGTAACGTTTGCTGACACTGTCCATTAGTAAGTACCGTTTGCTGACACTTTCCATTAGTAAGTACCGTTTGATGACACTTTCCATTAGTAAGTACCGTTTGTTGACACTTTCCATTAGTAAGTACCGTTTGATGACACTTTCCATTAGTAAGTAACGTTTGATGACTCTTCCATCAGTAAGTACCGTTTGATGACACTTTCCATTAGTAAGTACCGTTTGTTGACACTTTCCATTAGTAAGTACCGTTTGCTGACACTTTCCATTAGTAAGTAACGTTTGATGACCCTTCCATCAGTAAGTACCGTTTGTTGACACTTTCCATTAGTAAGTACCGTTTGATGACACTTTCCATTAGTAAGTAACGTTTGATGACCCTTCCATCAGTAAGTACCGTTTGATGACACTTTCCATTAGTAAGTACCGTTTGTTGACACTTTCCATTAGTAAGTACCGTTTGATGACACTTTCCATTAGTAAGTAACGTTTGATGACCCTTCCATCAGTAAGTACCGTTTGTTGACACTTTCCATTAGTAAGTACCGTTTGTTGACACTTTCCATTAGTACGTACCGTTTGCTGACACTTTCCATTAGTAAGTACCGTTTGTTGACACTTTCCATCAGTAAGTACCGTTTGATGACACTTTCCATTAGTAAGTACCGTTTGCTGACACTTTCCATTAGTAAGTACCGTTTGATGACACTTTCCATCAGTAAGTACCATTTGATGGCACTTTCCATCAGTAAGTACCGTTTGTTGACACTTTCCATTAGTAAGTACCGTTTGATGACACTTTCCATTAGTAAGTACCGTTTGCTGACACTTTCCATTAGTAAGTTCCGTTTGATGACACTTTCCATCAGTAAGTACCATTTGATGGCACTTTCCATCAGTAAGTACCGTTTGTTGACACTTTCCATTAGTAAGTACCGTTTGATGGCACTTTCCATTAGTAAGTACCGTTTGATGACACTTTCCATTAGTAAGTACCGTTTGATGACACTTTCCATTAGTAAGTACCGTTTGTTGACACTTTCCATTAGTAAGTACCGTTTGATGGCACTTTCCATTAGTAAGTACCGTTTGTTGACACTTTCCATTAGTAAGTACCGTTTGCTGACACTTTCCATTAGTAAGTACCGTTTGTTGACACTTTCCATTAGTAAGTACCGTTTGATGACACTTTCCATTAGCAAGTACCGTTTGATGACACCGTCTTTTATTTGATCGGGTTTGTTGAAATGGCTCTCTATTTTGTATCCTTTGTTGACATTGTCCTTAATTAAGTTTCTGTTTTAGTGGTAGTGTTTGTCTCTCTTATGTTGAGATTGTGGTATGTTGTATCCTGTCTTCCTGACGTTGTATGGTATATGTGTCTCTTTATGTTGTCGCAGTTGCATAGTTTGTCCTCTCGTGTTGGTGAAGTATCATTTTATCTTTTGATATAAGTGTATTTTGCTAATGCTATATCATAGATTATGTTGTCAGATTATCTAGTTTGCATTTTATGAAGAAAAATGTCACGCTTCAATTACAATTCCAGATGCTTGGTGATATCCGTCATTGTATCCTAGCGACGGATCTAGCGTTGTTCTTTACCAACCGTGCCCGCCTACAGGAAATAGCAGACCGGAACGAATTTAAGTGGGATAACAGAGAGCACAGGTAAAGACCGGCTAAAGCTGTACATGTGATAACAGGGTACACAGGTAAAGACCGGCTATAGCTGTACATGTGATAACAGAGTACACAGGTAAAGGCCGGCTATAGCTGTACATGTGATAACAGGGTACACAGGTAAAGACCGGCTATAACTGTACAGGTGATTACAGAGTACACAGGTAAAGACCGGCTATAGCTGCACATGTGATAACAGAGTACACAGGTAAAGGCCGGCTATAGCTGTACATGTGATAACAGAGTACACAGGTAAAGGCCGGCTATAATGGTACGTGTGATAACAGAGTACACTGTTTCGTTAGACAAGAAGCAAGACAGGTTAAGGCCAGTTATATTTTGATATGTTGCGTTGAAAGATTGTTGCCGATTTAATTATTTCATGTTGTTTCATGATATGTATGGAATATCCTGCTGAGAAATCCAGCTAAGTAATAGTTTGACATATTGTTACAATGGCTATAATATTTCGTTTCTAGTTGTATATATATTCACAAGGTATCAGAGAGTGCCTTTTCTGGAGATGTTGTTCTTACCTACGTAGTATGTACAACTTCTAAACTGACATCACAAAAACTCAACAGCATGAATTAACAGACAAACGTTGTTACAATGCTAAGCACTCTGAAAATGGCAAGAAACGCCATTCCATTAACGCATCAATTATAATAATAATGATTTTGTTTTGTTGGTTTTTAAGGGGGAGGGGGATTTTACAATAGTTAAGAAAACAAAATTTATCATTCTATAACAAAATCAGTTGGAAACGAATATTCAGCTTTTATTTTGAGGGTCATTTTTTCTGCGAAATTCGGAAATTATAAATGGTTTGGTCATTGTTTAATCTGAAAAAGCGCGAAAGTTGAATTTCAGTTGAGTGAATCAATGTTGCAACTTGTTCTAATTTCTACTTGCTCCACCGCCGGCAAGAATGACGAATTAGTAACCCAAGGGGTGGGTTTTGTCTGGCACGTGTCACATTTTACGTGGTAATAATCAAACATACGCTCTACGAGGTCTGATGTGTGTATGTCGTCACAGGCTTCTACTACAAGCTATCATCATCACCGGATGTGACTTGTGCGCAAGTGCGAAACCTTGGGATGTTCAGCTTCAGACCGTCAATTCTATCATTGACGAGTTTTACATGCAGGTACCATGGTGTTTTTCTACTCTGTGGTCTATTTTTACCCTGTGCCAGCATGTATACATCAGATGTACTTGTTGTGCAATATTGGATATATCATGCAAGAACTGCAATCTGTTGTTGTGTTTGTTGTCATTGTATTTGTACTGAATCATAAGTATGTTTCTGTTTTTGAATTTGAATGTGTTCTGTCCTTACCGTAATACCCAGACACGGCGTTAGGAGATGGCCATGCTAATGATGTATATACCTTTCTGATGACGTTGTGATATGTCGTTATATCGCGTATTGCGTTTTTATGGCTCCAAATCACCATTGATTTTTTCGGGGAAAATATCGTAACAGATTTTTCATACAGATATATTTTGACACACATTATTAAAATACACTAGTCCGTCAGTTCTCAAGCTCGTTAAATGTAGCTCTCTTGCAAATTTTAGAGGGATTTCGGAAACAAATAACTTTTTAGGGATGTCCACTGTGATGTTTGATAATCCTAGTCTGTATTGTAAGATGTTTGTCGATGTTGTGTTCCTATCCTGGCTGTTGTGTTTTCAGACGACTCCTCATGGCCAACTGCATGACAGCCTGTGATCTGTGTTCTATGTACAAACCCTGGGACATCCAACTCGACCTTGTCTACGTCATAATGGAGGAGTTTTGGCAGCAGGTGCCTCACTTTCTTTTTGACTTGATCATTGTTATATTTCAGCATGTTTTGTGTTATGATGTGAATATAAAAATGAACCCACTCGTTTGTATTAAACATTAATATGGTTAAGGTTAAACGATCGCCAATGTTATTCGTATCCTTATGGAGAATATATCTCCGTGTATACAAACACTTATAACCCTAGCTAATACTACATAGTAAGCTTACCAGTTATATCAGCAAAAAAAATATGAATGAAGCATTGATGTGTAATGGGTTGACAGGGCGATGAGGAGAGATCCCAGGGGATGACCCCCATGCCGATGATGGACAGACAGAAACAACATGAGTTGCCTCACTTAGAGGTAAGTTACGACCTGGGCCCCACGAACAAAAAAAATAAGTAACTCCGAGAAAATCTGTTGCCAATCGATTTTACAAGAAAACTCACTCATTCGTGCGTATCTCATGATATAGTACAACTTTACAGGTATTTAATATCAGAATATTTACAATTCTACACAGCACCTTAAAAGACAAGACGGCATAGACGTATTAACATAACATAGTGATCAAGTAATCAGAAGTAATTATAGCTTTACTGACTTCACCGTTCGCGTAAATCTAAAGCCAAATGAAGGAAATGTCACGCCAACAAAGTAAGGACCAAGGCAGTAATCATTAAACTAGGAAATAAATCATGTCTCCAGCAACATGTGGTAGACTTTTATTACTTGATGTAATTGTTTTACGTCTGATATGGTTAACATTATTCATTACATTATTTCTACCAGTTCATATTTGTTCAAATATTTTCCGTTTTGATCTGATATCTAGTCATAAATACGTATTTGCATAGCAGTTCATTTACAGTTATTGAATGGATCCGACCTTCAAGTAACGTTGTGAAATTAACATTTCGCTATGATATTACATTCCACTGTCAGACATTTTTCAGTTTAATTGTAAACCATGACCAGTATTTTGTGCTGAGGTTAGATCAGAGAAGTGTCCTGTATCATTTTTATAATATGTGTTTATTGTACAATTTGACCATTCGTCATTATGACTTGTCAAGGTCTACATTTAAATTCTTTTCTCAACTTTCATGTCGATATTATCTCCCTTGGTTTTTAATTTGTGGTTTTGTTCGTTCACAAGTTCTAATTTTCTTCCAGTTGTGTTTCCAAGGCTTTTCTCTAAGTTCTGAAACTCTGTGTCACGTGAGGTGTGCTTATTTTGTATTAATAATTTAATGCTCATAGAAAATTGTGTTCTAATTAGTTATTTATTCTAATCATATTTTCTTTTGGTCATACCTAGGTCGGGTTTTTAGTTGGTATTTGCCTTCCCTGCTATGAATTAATGGGCAAGATTCTGCCGGAGACAATGCCGATGGCGAATGGTGCAAAGTAAGTAATTTTTAATTTATTTTGATTATTCTGTATTATACCTGTTAAGATATTTTTGACTAATGTATTTTTATTAACCATATGTTTATATTTTACATATAAACAGAGACAATTTAAGAAGGTGGAAAGAACTTGCAGAGCAACAGAAACCTGAAAATCAATTGAAAGAGGAAAGTTCTTCACAATCTCAGGAGAAAGAAAAAGTGTCGGACTCGTCTGAAAAAGATGTTGATGAGAAAGACGAGGAGGAGTCTAGTGTGACGAATTCAAGGAATAGCAGAACAGATTCGACAAAAGATGATTCTGAAAGTGACTCAAAAACAAATATAGCAACATTGGATAACTTAAAGGATTCTATTGAAACGGAAAAAGATTTTAAAGCAAACGAAAACACGTCAAACGTTAGTTGACATGAAGACTCCAAAGAAGAGAGTTAACATTACTTCGGTGGATCTTTAATTATCTCAGCGAGTAGAATAAAAACTTGACAACGTTGTCAAAGAACGACAGAGTCTAACACTGAGATGCACATTACCTCATATGGTCCATCATGTTTTGCTATGTATATGACGTCATATGACGTACCATGACGTCATCTCGACATTCTGCATGAGATATTGGCGAGAGAGGGTGAGGGAGAATGCCGGTTTTATTAATTGAATTCAAGTTTTTGTCACGTTTTCTTATACTACTATCATTTTACTTGATCGAGTTAATACAAACTCATATACAGTGTAAACATTTTCGCCAAACTTCATTATAACAGCATCCCATCCGATGAGCATTGATAACGTGTACCTTGTTTGTTTGTAAGCATAGAATCTGAAGTGATAGTCACACAGACGGCATTTTAAATACATTTTTTTTAATCATAAAATTGATTTAATCCTAGAGATAGAACACCTCTCAATGTTTTTTTTTTCTTTTTTTTTTTTTACTTTTATTTCCATCAACTTTGCTTGTATTCAACAGAATTGGCCCTTAGCATCAATGACGTGTCTTAGAAGGACGAAACAGCATTATGATACAGATCTGCTTATCTAATTCTAAATGAAATCATAATGGTGCTTTTGACTGGCGTGTCTTTAGGTCACCTGATTCTAAGTCTCGGGGTAACCTATTGCGATCGTCTTTTATCCGGTGCCGTGCGTTTGTAAACTTTTTACATTTCCGAAGGTCCAGCATGCCTCAAAATCCAGAAGTCTTCTTCTTAAAACCCACACATGGTGGAATCAAAGGCTTTTGATATACGGGAAGGTTTTTGGTACTTTACCAAAACAGGAAATTTTCTAGCCCTGTGGTCTCACATTTCTCCCCAGGAAGGGTTTTTTTGGGGGGGGGAATACCATTTGTGAAATTTGAATTTCAAATATTTCAGACTTGGTTAGAATTTTAAGTATAGGGTTAAAATGGTATTATACGCATATTAATACTGGCTGAACCCACAGAGCTGATTGGTGCCGAAAGGGATCAAATTGACTTAAGTATAAAAAAAAAACATCTCAACACTCGGATACGGTAGATCAAAAGCTCTTTTTGGGTGGGTTTTAAGATGTTGCACCAAAGTTGTGAATTTCATGACACTTGGATCTTACATTTCCTCTTGGGGGAGGTAGTTAAGTTTTCTATATTACACATAGACAGTTTTATTTTGATTACTATGCAGTGGTATTGCAACTGATCTACATGGGCTTAAATCATATCATTTTATATTCAATTGAGCTTACCTCACGTGACCGTTAAGGCCACTAGGCCGCTTGATTGCAAAATCTTATACTTATCAGGGAGGAGTTAAAATGAAGAAGGCACATTGAAATAGGAAAGTGTTGCCAATGCGACATGTCTTTACATCCATATAGCTCCTAGTGCTGTATGGCAGAAACAGCCATGCCGTTGTCATCTGTGTCATAAGATCAGCATTATCGTTGTCATTTCTTATCACGTGATCATGCTTACTATTGTCATTACATGCATGACTTGATCAGTCCTAATGTTGTCATGTACATGCGTCATCAGCCTTATTGTTGTCAAGCGCATCACGTCATCAGCCTTACTGTTTGTAATATACATCACGTGGTTAGCCCTACCATTGATATATTCATCACGTGATCACTCTTACCGTTGTCATGTCTATCATGTGATCAGCATTAACGTAGTCATATGTATCACGTGATTAGCCTTACCGTAGTTATGTGTATCATGTGATCAGTCTGTATACTGACTATAATGGTCTTCGATTGAATATTGTCAGGTTGTTCTCATTGATCTTGGTCCGATCAGATGTGATGTTACTTTGGAAACGATACGCAATTAGCCTGTTTATCTGCATCAATGATACTTTACTAACACTCATTTTATCATTTTGCTAATTTATTTCAGTAAAAATCTAGAAAAATTCTTAAATATAGTATAGTGTTGATCTGATCACATCGATGTCTTATTGTTTTACACAAATACATATTCCATGATAGATCAATCCATATCGAATCTGAATCAGTAAGTATACACGGCAAGTGTTGACATATTGTGTTTACAAAACACGAAATATCTTTATAGTGGATATTGTGTAGGACTTTTGTTAGATTTTTACCTTTATAAACTGCTCCATTTTTAATGACGGAGGAAAACATCAGATGTAAAAGTTACAAGTAAATATTTGACTGTGATATAAAGATATTATTCATTACAACATGCTGTTTATAAATACAAGATCTTAAGTTTCCATTTTATATGAGATTTTAATATACGAATTTTCCATTTTACTGAGCCTCTGGAGAATTTGATATTTCTCTTACGAAATAGAGTCATGTGTAAGACTTTGTAATCACTGAACTTTTATTTTTGCAATCCTTCTGACTTCTGATTTTTTTCACTCCATATCTCTTTCTTCTGGGACGTCACAATGCACATGACGCCAGAAAATTGTGACGTAACAATTGAACCAACGATGGGATTTTACAACCAATCAACACTCCGCTAGGTGATATCACACTTATTGTCATAAAGCAATTAAATGTAATGTGAGTTATAACACTGACAACAGGGTAGTTAGATGATAAACATGTAAAGAACACTACGACGGTTTTGGGTCATTATATCAAGTCATAAAATACAACAGGAATCATTCTTTTATTTGAAGAAGTGTACATTTTTGAAATTAGTTACTACTTCACAGTAGCTTAATTAAATTTGTTGTATTATGATAATTTTGATTGGGAGAGAATCAAAGGATATCCGATACATCTGTAGGAAATACTTTGACAACTTGTGGTGATCGTTAAACCGTCGTGTTTCTGCATTGTTATAGATATTACACGTTACGTTTAAATGTCGTTTGCTATTCAGTATTAAGCTGATTTTAAACAAATTATTAGTATGTAATGTACGGTTGTTTAAAAAAAGTTTCAACAAATTATTCCCTCATTTTGTCATGAATCATGATCAGATTTGAGCTTGTTATGAAACAGATATAATGATGTACGTAATAGTTGCTTTTAAAACGTAAGGACATAATTAATGTTAACCGGCTTAAAAATATCAATATCAGATGGAAATTATTATTTTTTTATTTGTAAATGTGAAGCAGTTCTGCTAGTGTACCAAAATATGTGTTGTAGGATTGTTTAAGAAGTCAGTCAGTAAGTATCCGTCCATAAAATTATGAATTTTAGCGAATATCTTTCATTAGAGATAGTGCTTTTTTATATTCCCTATCGTGCAATTAAGAAAGTGTAGTATTTTTGTAATCAATGCTCAAAATAAACGAAGGAATGTGACATATACGCCATGATAATGACAGCTCTTTCATTATGTTCAAATAACGCCATTTCGTTAACATGAGATTAAATTTCACCGACTATCAGACAGTATGATAAATTGGAATTGAATTATAAATTATTTTCATTCAACGATTGTATATCAAATCTTGTGATTTTAGAATCAATTGAAACGAAAAAACTTCAATTTTCATGTTGATAAATTAAAATAAATATCATCCCTTGATCCATGACACAGGAGACTTTTTCTACAGAAGGGTTTTACATATCGACATGTGCTAGATTTTTCTACTTATTGTTCCGTGTAACATTGTACAGATTGTCAAAGGCATATTTATGCTACATTTTATAAAAAGCCAAGGTCATGCTTGTGTTACAGAATATAGAATATCACAGACATGCTTGTTCTACAGTATATATAATGTCAAGGTCATGCTCGTTCTACAGTATATATAATGTCAAGGTCATGCATTTTTTACATTATATATAAGGTCAAGGTCACGCTTGTTCTACGGTATATAGAATGTCAAGGTTATGCTCGTCCTGTTCGTGTTATGTTACCATGAAATCGTTACGAATAAATTATTTTGCTATAAACTGTCGATGTGTTGATGTGTTATTATAGCAACATGCGGAACTGTTTTGAAAGCCAATTCATTTAAGGTATACTCGTCAAATTTCATCACTCATTGTTAACAAGTAGAATCGTTGTCACATGGAAAATTATGGTAACTCAGGACTACATAGCGTAGGAAGTGCAGATTCCAGCAACTGTTGACAGTCTTGTCTTACAAGTAAGTACAAACTGCAAGAAAAGTTATTTCCATGGTTTCTAGTCGCTTTCATGTTAAGAAATACACGGCGAAACTGTGACCTAGTCCATCCCAACCAAGCATGCACTCAAGTAAAAATGGGAAACCAACAGAGGACTGGGTTCATGACTTCTGATATATTTAACACAAACACAAAAATAATTTCATAAACTCCTTATCATCAGATGGTGGGCTGTTCAAATCTCCCTGCATCCGTGATTTATCGTCTATCTGTCGTCAGTCCTTGATATATTCTTGTTATCGTTATTCCTGCAAAGATCTTTCTCAAGGTTCAAAGATAGATTCTCCATGGGTCCCATGTTTTGTCCTTTCAATTTTGAAATTAATCAGAAAAATTAAATGACTGTCAGGCGGTCATATTGAATTTTGATGAGGAAAACAAAGAAAATGTTTGCAGAATTTGTATTAAAACAACATTCGGCGAAACTAGGGCAAAATAAGAACAAAGTAACGATCTACACAGATGCTCCAAAAAAGATTTAAGGAGAATAAGACAATGCATTTCGGAAGAGTAAGCGTCTTCTGCTCCATCGAGAGACCCATCGTGTAAATCTTCGTTTATCCAAGTAAGTAATGTCACGGTCCAATGTGAACAAGCTATACAACAACAGAACCGCAAGGAATGCTACCGGGCATCAAAACGACCAGCTTCATGTCGCACAAGAAATAGAATATTTCTCAATGAGGTAACAACGATGAATACTTTCCGAATAATATCTATCAGCATCTCTCGAAATCTGGCGTTGGGAGTCAGTTGACGACATCTTGTACGATACTGGGAACAGACCCTAGAATATCAAATTAACTGTGACATGTGATTACTATAGGTTGGAGATGCGTGGATCCAGAAATGAAAATTCCACAAGAGGGAAATTGAAATCATCAAGTTTATCATACAGCTTGCTGGAAAGCTGTCCATCATAGCTGCGTTGCAGAAAAATACAAAAATAGCCTAGCCAAGAGAGGGGCACGGTTTGTTCCCATAGGTGAGTCTAAAGTCTGTTGGAGGATTTTTCAAAAAAACTCGACAGATATATTGTCTAGTAGAAATTCCATCATGTTGTGATTTCGTCCTTCGTATAAATCATCTTTGAATTAGGCCTATTTTTAGTTGACAGTGATAAAAGTATTGCGTTATACAAATGATATATTTATGAATTTCTTGTCTACATTGAACTGAAAATTTGGATTTCTTTATCAGTACATCGATAAACAATAACAATCACAGTAAATAAACTTACACAGGAATGTTGGAACAATGATAGGTTTTTTTAATTTCTATTACGCGTTTTGTGAAATCCACGTTTCCCCGACTACTTTATACTAATTTGATTTATAAGAAGTTAAAACCGTGGCAGTGATGACAACTGTTGTGTTTACCCTGCGTATATTTTTAGTATCGTACAGGTTATCTCCCTTAGTTCTAAATCTTTCTGATAGCATGTAAGACGACATGAACAACACGCCGAGGTGTACTACTCCTCATCTGAATAAAAAAATAAAAACACCAATAATTATAATAAATTTTACCCACGACAACCTAAAACTAGAGCGAGCGTTTCCTGTTCTTTGAAATGTTTGACATAATCTACAGTTTCATCAAGGTAGATGGTTTCCTTTTTCATATAAAAAACCATGGGTATCATTGGTTAGTTAAGAATTCGACCACAATAAAAAGCATGTACAGGGATTAATATAATGAGACTTAAGATTTACACCAACATTTTCACATTTGCTGTTATGATACTGTTATTATTCACAGTATCCTAAACATAATTGTTAGATTGGAGTGCTTATGTTGGTCAATCTCAGATATTGTTATATATTTCGTCTCAGTATATCAGTGACTTGTTCTGCTCCATGATGTACAAAAAGGACGACAGGTAGCCATATTTTCACATAAAAAAAACCCCGATGGATTTCCCAGAAATATGCTTAGTATCGTTGGAAAGATAGATTTGTTCTGACAACGGTACTTTTGTTGACGAAGAGTGTATTCTACACATATTTCATTTTCCAACGATAAGGTCAATACTATTGTCTCTCATGTCTGTTCATCAAGCGTCACTTGTATATTTAATAAGTATAATTTGGATGGTATTCTAACGTGTTTAATCTATAAATCTATATACAATGTGTAGGTGGAGATTTCTACATCCATCTTACTTATATCTAACACCTATATACTTACACATAGATTTACCTGTATCAAGGAAATAATCTAACAATGTAAAAACCTTACAATAGAATAGTTGTTTTTTATGATGAACGGACAGGACGTAAGATAAAACATAACCACACACTGACTGTAATTGATATATTTAAAATCGTCACTATCCGCGACCATATCCCAATCAACTGACGGTGTAATAGTTCGCATGAATGAATTTGGTAATTTCCATGTTTTAAGTATACTAAAACAGCAAGCTTTGTGAACTTTGGTCTTTAATTTCTTTTTGTGTATTGCCTTAAAAGCATTTATAACAATGGGACTTCAGATGTTAATGTTCGGATATGTAAATGAGATGACTATGTATAAATAGTAATGTTGTCAGACAATGTCAGAACTCGCTGTGCAACTCACTAAGTCTTAGAGTTATTATTGTTAATGTATAAGATTTCATTCTAACTCTCTCCTCCGACTATCATTAGAATATAAAGCTCTTTACTAGTTTAAATTCAATCCAAAAAAATGTTAATTTCACATATTACTTGTTAAAATTACACCGGAACACGAAAACGATATCGTTTTAGACAATGTAGCCTTGTTTATAAATAGAATCTATAAATAGATTTTTCGTCATTTTCTCCGTGTTTATCCGGATGAGTACCGAGTCTACACGAGAAATCGATGATCTATATCAGTGATATATGTGTATATTCTAAATTTCCTATCTTACTTTTCACTTTCGAACCCTTTGATCCTTCTAAATCGCTTAATTTATCATTTTGTTCATTGTGAATCGTGCTGATGGAAATTTCCCGGACTCCGTAAACTATAAATAGATATGATGTTATTACAAACGTTTGACTGACGCAATGTGGTTTTCTAAATCGAGTGTGTTGCGAAATCCCAATACGTTTTTCTACGTATGCCGACGTTGCAGATTATTAGCCAATCGTAAGCCATATGTCGGGAGAGGGTATAAATAGACTAAACGCTGGTAGGGAAGCGTCATACGAACATCAGACGAGGGGCCACGAGGAAGGCTGATACTGAAGGCTTAAGGTAGGTGTTTTTATAGTATTCTGATTTATTTCAGGACATGTTTGTGTGTTATATTTAATGTCATTTAAACAGTATATATAGATAATATTTACTACAACTTGGTGACCCAACGAAGAAGATCATTATTCTTGCTTCTGAGTTATTTTCGTTGCTACTATATATTCAATATATCCGCTACATTTACCACAAGCAATGTATATGTACCTTTGTGTATGAAGTGGTGTTGGTATAAAATCTCGTGGAGATCATTTTTAGCTTGATACAAAAAGAATACATTTAGAATATGTGTGACTTCTAACGGGTAACATGATATATATTATAATATGAAGCGAGTCGTCTGTATTATGTACAATATATTAGGAATATGAACATGAAAATAAGTGGATGTTCCTTGTAGTAATGGTACACGTTTTTCACCCACAGAAATTCTAGGAAAACTGTATGTTATTGCAGGCGCCGTATAAAATGATAGGAAGAAAGGTGACGATAAATCATTGTAGACAGGAAAGATTATCGGCTATTGACCCACAACACAGTTCTCTTATAACCTGAAAGATTCCATCTTTGACAGAAATTCGTCACCTAAAATGACGTTAGAGAAACTGTTTTACGTCGGTGTCTACATCACACAAAGACACCACTTCTTTCCCGTCAGCTGCTTTCTGGCAAGGTGAGTTACTCTCAGTAACGACCACTCGTTTTCCGTCAGCTGGCTGCTGGCAAGGTGAGATACTCTCTAGAGCGACCATTCACGATAGTCTGTTCTCTTAGATTGAAATTGTAACCTTTTTCGGGTTTACTTTATATAAATGGCGATTTTCTATTGATGTTAAAAGAAACATGGGCCAGAAGGTCGTTAGATGAAACCCAGGAGTAGATTACGTCATACTTGTAGAAAGTATCCCTTACAGAATAATCAACATATGTCTAATAGTGTTCGATGGCGGACAGTTTAAGATAAAAGTGTTGATAGTTAATGGAATTGTTTTAATGCATGGTTACAAAGTTGTGTCTCTATACCCAATTCTTTGAAGTAGATATTCTTCATTAGTCTGACAATGTTTAGTTGTGTTTATTACAGAGACGGAATTGATTCCGCTGTACGGAAAGGACACACCTATTACGTATTGGGAATAATGATAAGAGAGCGGAAATTATCACAGTTATGTGTGTATTCCAATCAACCAGCCGTGGACACGACCGTACACAAACAAATGCAAATGTTGTATGATACCACATAATATATACCAGATTGCATTTCAACATTAACTGGACATTTTTACATACTGAGATTATTGGACTTCATACACAGGAAACTATTGTATTGTCTAAATGTTCATATGAATGTGTTGCCAATATTATGTCCTTTTTTAAATTCTCCAATTTCAGCAAATCTGATCAGAGCTGTGCATGAAAATAACAATATCAATGGCACATCAATGTTTTATTCATACCAAGGACATTCTCCTGGCTGTGTGTGTATGAAGAATTTTTTAAATCTTTGTGTTTTATTTGTGACTTTTTCTACATGTTTTAATCACGTATTCTTATAAACATATCGAACAAGTTGATCTCAAAGGAAATCGTATTCTCATTGTTTTGTTGGTTTTAAAATGTTGGTGATGCTTTAAGCGTACATTCCCAATGATAAAGGTGTATCATTTACGCAGTAAAAGTGCCATAACTATCAAATATTTATGAATAAACTAATGACGTCACATCCATGTTTTGAATGTGAAAAAAGAATTATTCAGGTGTAAGTGTTTACGGGATAATTTAGGAAAAGGAACGGGATACCATACAATGTCAGAATACAAGAGGACATGTTGGTTAGTGTTATATACGTGGTCTAACCTCTTCATGTTTTACCCATGTCTTCTTCAGGGGATCTGGACACATCGTTCGTATTGAATAAAGCTACAAGGATTTCTGATAGTTTTCTTTCAGTCACAAACAAGTTTTTACAACTTTGTATTACTCTGTTCGTACTACAAGCGAAGATTGATGAAATATCATTCCGGACATCTAGGGATATCACTGACCGTGGTCTGACACTAAATAGGTCATCACAACTGGGTATTTGTATACTTCCGTGATCTAACACTAAATAGGTCATCACACCTGTATATTTGTAAACTTCCGTCGTCCAACACGAAATATGTCATCACAACTGGGTATTTGTATACTTCTGTGGTCGAACACTAAATAGGTCATCACACGTGTGTATTTGTATACTTTCGTCGTCCAACACGAAATATGTCATCACACCTGTGTATTTGTATACTTCCGTGATCGAACACTAAATAAGTCATCACACCTGTGTATTTGTACACTTCCGAGGTCGAACACTAAATATGTCATCACAACTGTGTATTTGTACACTTCCGAGGTCGAACACTAAATATGTCATCACACCTGGTTATTTGTATACTCCCGAGATCTGACATTAAATAGGTCATTACACCTGTGTATTTGTATACTTCCGTCCTCCAACACCAAAAAGGTCATCACACCTGTGTTTTTGTATACTTCCGTGATCGAACACTAAATATGTCATCACACCTGTGTATTTGTATATTTCCGTGATCGAACATTAAATATGTCATCACACCTGTGTATTTGTAAATTTCCGTTGTCCAGCACTGAATATGTCATCACACCTGTGTATTTGTATACTTCCGTCCTCCAACATTAAAAAGGTCATCACACCTATGTATTTGTATACTTCCGTGGTCGAACACTAATTATGTCATCACACCTGTGTATTTGTATACTTCCGTCCTCCAACATTAAAAAGGTCATCACACCTGTGTATTTGTATACTTCCGTGGTCGAACACTAATTATGTCATCACACCTGTGTATTTGTATACTTTCGTCGTCCAACACGAAATATGTCATCACAACTGGGTATTTGTATACTTCCGTGATCGAACACTGAATAAGTCATCACACCTGTGTATTTGTACACTTCCGAGGTCGAACACTAAATAAGTCATCACACCTGTGTGTTTCCATACTTCCGAGGTCTGACACAACATATGTCATCACACCTGTGTATTTGTATACTTCCATGGTCTGACACCACATATGTCATCACACCTGTGTGTTCCTATACTTCAGTGGTCGAACACTAAATAGGTCATAACACCTGTGCAAATGTATATTTCCGTGGCCGAACACGAGATATGTCATCACACATGTGTAATTGTATATTTCTGTGGTCTGAAACTAAATACGTCATCACACCTGTGTATTTGTATACTTCAGTGGTCGAACACTAAATATGTCATCACACCTGTGTATTTGTATACTTTCGTGGTCATCACACCTGTGTATTTGTATACTTCCGTGATCGAACACTAAATATGTCATCACACCTATGTATTTGTATATTTCCCTGATCGAACACTAAATATGTCATCACACCTGTGTATTTATATTTTTCCTCGATCGAACACAAAATATGTCATCACACCTGTGTATTTGTATACTTTCGTCGTCCAACACGAAATATGTCATCACAGCTGGGTATTTGTATACTTCTGTGGTCGAACACTAAATAGGTCATCACAACTCGATATTTGTATACTTCTGTGGTCTAACACTAAATGTTTCATCACAACTAGGTATTTGTATACTTCCGTGATCGAACACTAAATAAGTCATCACACCTGTGTATTTGTATACTTCAGTGTTCGAACACTAAATATGTCATCACACCTGTGTATTTGTACACTTCCGAGGTCGAACACTAAATATGTCATCACACCTGTGTATTTATATTTTTCCTCGATCGAACACAAAATATGTCATCACACCTGTGTATTTGTATACTTTCGTCGTCCAACACGAAATATGTCATCACAGCTGGGTATTTGTATACTTCTGTGGTCGAACACTAAATAGGTCATCACAACTCGATATTTGTATACTTCTGTGGTCTAACACTAAATATGTCATCACAGCTGGGTATTTGTATACTTCTGTGGTCGAACACTAAATAGGTCATCACAACTCGATATTTGTATACTTCTGTGGTCTAACACTTAATGTTTCATCACAACTAGGTATTTGTATACTTCCGTGATCGAACACTAAATAAGTCATCACACCTGTGTATTTGTATACTTCAGTGTTCGAACACTAAATATGTCATCACACCTGTGTATTTGTACACTTCCGAGGTCGAACACTAAATATGTCATCACACCTGGGTATTTGTATACTCCCGAGATCTGACTTTAAATAGGTCATTACACCTGTGTTTTTGTATACTTCCGTGATCGAACACTAAATATGTCATCACACCTGTGTATTTGTATATTTCCGTGATCGAACATTAAATATGTCATCACACCTGTGTATTTGTAAATTTCCGTTGTCCAGCACTGAATATGTCATCACACCTGTGTATTTGTATACTTCCGTCCTCCAACATTAAAAAGGTCATCACACCTGTGTTTTTGTATACTTCCGTGGTCGAACACTGAATAGGTCATCACACCTGTGTATTTGAATACTTTCGTGGTCATTACACCTGTGTATTTGTATACTTTCGTGGTCATTACACCTGTTTATTTGTATACTTTCGTGGTCATTACACCTGTGTATTTGTATACTTCCGTGGTCGAATACTGAATAGGTCATCACGCCTGTGTATTTGTATACTTCCGTGATCGAACACGAAATATGTCATCACGCCTGTGTATTTGTACACTTCCGAGATCGAACAATAAATATGTCATCACACCTGTGTATTTGTAAATTTCCGTCGGCCAGCACTGAATAGGTCATCACGCCCGTGTAATTGTATACTTCCGTGATCGAACACGAAATATGTCATCACACCTGTGTATTTGTATACTTCCGTGATCGAACAATAAATATGTCATCACACCTGTGTATTTGTACACTTCAGTGTTCGAACACGAAATATGTCATCACACCTGTGTATTTGTAAATTTCCGTCGGCCAGCACTGAATATGTCATCACACCTGTGTATTTGTATACTTTCGTGATCGGACACTAAATAAGAAATCACACCTGTGTAATTGTATACTTCCGTGATCGAACACTAAATATGTCATCACACCTGTGTATTTGTATACTTCCGTGATCGAACAATAAATATGTCATCACACCTGTGTATTTGTATACTTCAGTGGTCGAACACTAAATAAGAAATCACACCTGTGTAATTGTATACTTCCGTGATCGAACACTAAATATGTCATCACACCTGTGTATTTGTATACTTCCGTGATCGAACAATAAATAAGTCATCACACCTGTGTATTTGTATACTTCAGTGGTCGAACACTAAATAAGAAATCACACCTGTGTAATTGTATACTTCCGTGATCGAACACTAAATATGTCATCACACCTGTGTATTTGTATACTTCCGTGATCGAACAATAAATATGTCATCACACCTGTGTATTTGTATACTTCAGTGGTCGAACACTAAATAAGAAATCACACCTGTGTAATTGTATACTTCCGTGATCGAACACTAAATATGTCATCACACCTGTGTATTTGTATACTTCCGTGATCGAACAATAAATATGTCATCACACCTGTGTATTTGTACACTTCAGTGTTCGAACATTAAATATGTCATCACACCTGTGTATTTGTAAATTTCCGTCGGCCAGCACTGAATATGTCATCACACCTGTGTATTTGTATACTTCCGTGATCGAACAATAAATATGTCATCACACCTGTGTATTTGTATACTTCAGTGGTCGAACACTAAATAAGAAATCACACCTGTGTAATTGTATACTTCCGTGATCGAACACTAAATATGTCATCACACCTGTGTATTTGTATACTTCCGTGATCGAACAATAAATATGTCATCACACCTGTGTATTTGTACACTTCAGTGTTCGAACATTAAATATGTCATCACACCTGTGTATTTGTATACTTCAGTGGTCGGACACTAAATAAGTCATCACACCTGTGTATTTGTATACTTCCGATATCTGACACTAAATATGTCATCACACCTGGGTATTTGTATATTTCCTTGGTCGAACACTAAATATGTCATCACACCTGTGTATTTGTATACTTTCGCGGTCCATCACTAAATATGTCATCACACCTGGGTATTTGTCTACTTCCGAGGTCTAACACTAAACACGTATTCAGATTTGTATACGTCATCAATTGTATCTGATCACACCTGATTTCAAACCGTTGATACATTGATTTGTATAAAATGGTGACAGACATTTCATGAAATGTCAGTAACATGAGCAGATACCCGGAAAATACGAAAATCAAGGCAATCAGTTTGAAAGGATCTACCTCATAGGTTTAAGGTGGCATGCTACCATTGATATTCCTATGGTATGTGAGATTACTCTGTGATTGGTGGGTGTTTTTTTATCGACGAGTCCACATGCAGCGCTTGGGTACGAGAGTAGGGCGCTGATACGAGAGAGTAACGATAATTATACCTAGAGGCACTAGAGAATGCATACAAATATGGCATGAAGGTTAAGACAAACCTCAACTGCTATCTCGAAGATTGTATAAAATACTTAAGTGAATAACATCTTTCACTACAAGAGTAGGACATAGTGGTGCCAAACTATTAATTTAACTGCATCGTAAAGATGTTTTGTCTTTCCAGGACTTGTCAGTGATGTTACATCATACAGTTATTTCGTCCTTCCAGGACTTGTCAGTGATGAT